ATTTTGGACTTTAAGATGATACTTTTGTGCTATGTTAAGCCATTATGTTTGAAATTGTTTGTTATAGCAACAATAGGAAACTAACATGGTCATGATTAGGTGGTCAAGAGGACTCTGAGATGCATAAGGAAAGGTTGCCAAAGTGTTTATAATGAAGATTTCTCTTAGAATACTAATGAGGTACCAAGTGTAATTTGGGCAAATTCTAGAGACTTATGTGGAGCTTTATTCAAAGTGGGATTTGAAAATGATAAGAAGGAGTAGGTTCTTGTAAAATATACAAGTGAATAATCTGTTTTTGGGCCTACAAGATACTATGAATAATAAGGGTCTTGAGTGTTGTTTCTAAAGAGTCACAGAAGGAGAGGTTTTTGACCGACCAGGTAATTCCCTGGGATTTAACTGTAGTAAAGGACCCCAGCTTTTTTTTTTTTTTTTTGAGACAAGGTTTTGCTCTGTAGTCCAAGTTCACCTTGAACTTTCATATAGTTCAGGCTGGTGGCAAGCTCAGAGTCCTTCTGCCTGAGCCTCTTGAGTTCCAGAATTACAAGTGTGTATCATTATGTCTGGATAGAACTTGACTTTTCACTGGAAAATCAATGGCTTATCCCTTTTGTGAGCATCTATGTGAATGGTTTCATGTCTTGAAAATACATGTGTCAAAATGAATCTCCTCAGAGGAGGATATCTCAATGTGCTGTTATACTTGTACTCCTAGAGAAAGCTAGAAGCAGTCAAGGTCAAATTGTCAAAGATCATAGGTGATAGTAGGGCTGTTCGAGTACTCCATATATAGCCAGTTAAAGATATGCTATTTTCCTGGCAAAGTGAAGCAAATCTTTGACTTCAAAGTATTTGTTCGTAGATCCTTGGGTAGAGCCTTTTAATAAGATTTGGTACAGGGGATTAATGTGTGTGACTGTGCAATCATCTACCCTCAATACTTTTATTGTTGGAAGGATATGTATGTTGAGAGGGCATGAGGTGTTTATTACTCATATAATTAAGTTTTTTTTAAAGAGCAGGAGAGATTTCCAACCAAATTTGAAAAATAACCTAAGACAATAGGAGGACAACTGGCTTGTGCTTTCATCGTGGAGAGGGACTGGGATGGGAGAAGGATCTCCTTTATTTTCTGTACTCTGGTTTGGGTAAGTGTCTCCCAAAAGCCCATGTATTAAAAGTTGATCACCAGGCTATGGCATTCCTTGTTGCTGGTGGAACCTTTAAGACATGAGGCCTAGTGGTAGGAAGTTAGGTCATTGGGAGCATGCCTTTTGGAGGGTTTATTTGGATATTGGCCCCTCCTTTTCTGCTGTTTGCTCCCCAGCCAACTGTGACACATTGTCCTCTGCCATGTGTTGCTATCATGATACACTGATTTGCAATAGACCCTAAAGCAACTGGACTAATAGACCATGGACTGAAACCATGAGCCAAAATGAGTCTTTCTTCCTTTTCCATTGATCCTCTCAGGAATTTTTTTTTACAGTAACAGAGACCTAGCACAACCAGCTTGCATGATTTGAAAGTCCTACCAGGGCAAGAGGGGGTAGAATATGGATTTTTTTCTTTCTCAGATGAGGCATATGGGGGGGGGTGTGGTATGGATCTTGAAACCCAAGAACAAAACTTCAAAACTGGGGCCAGAGTGTACTATATATAGGTACTGGGGAAGGGTCTAGCATAGTAAGTAGAAATGTAAGGGACTACTGTTTTAATTAAGCCTTTAGTACATGTTGACTAAATAAAAAATTATTTGCATATGTCACAAATAAGAGATATTTTTGAAATAACTAATTGAAGCTCTAGAATGAAAGAGACCTGAATTTAGATATCAACTCTACCACTTCCTATGTGTGCAATCTTGATATTGTTCTACTTATATCTTTAAATAAAAGCTATAAATGGAAGCTTCCATAACTTTATTTATTTATTTTTATTGGTACCAGAGATCAAATTCACAACCTTGCACTTTCCAGGTAGGGGCTTATGCCACTAAGCTAAATCTCTGGCTTTTCATAACTTTAAATTGGAAAAACAACGCTGAATCATCAAGCATGGTATCAGTTTGTAAGACTGAATGAATGATAAAGAACAAAGCAAAAAATATTTCAAAAACAAACATATCTGAGTTCATAACATTTTGATATTTATGTAAGTGATGCCAGGTTGTGTGACATATTTAATGTTTTCTGACTCACTGATGTTTTCTTGAGTTTTAAAGCAAAGGAAAAACCACTCAATGTTACTCGTTGGCTTCCACCTGAAGATGTTCGAAGAAAATTAACCAATATTTTGAGTTCATTGTAGAAGCAGGTTTGGAGGGCAGGTAATTTGTTACTTGTATTTTAAAATTTACAGTTATAAAAGTGAATGAGTGAGTGAATGGCTACTTGTAGTAGACATAAGTGAAAGTGATGGATGGATGGATAGGTAAATGCATGGGTGGAGATGTAAATGAGGAGACAGCTGGTGGATGGGTGGAACAGATTAATGCTGCACATCAAACTACCCAGAGGAATCAAGAAAATTCTTCTTTATACTGTCATTTTTACATTGTATGAATGAATGTATTTCTGTAGAAAGTAAGTGGTTGTTCCTTTGGGGACTAGCTTGCAATATTCAACCTACAATCTTTGTCTGTAATCTCATTAAACAAAAACAGGGATATATCTCTCAATATCTCTCATTATTGATAATGAAGTCAAGGCCACCTGTTCCCACTTATTTTCCTTCCATCCTTTCATATATTCTTATATGGAAGGAAGACTTAAGAATTTTGATTGTGCAGAATTTGAAAATCTTTTTTAAATCTATCAACTTGTTGCAAAATGAATCATAAAACTGACCCTGGTTTTTCTCAAATGGAAAGTAACATATTTTCTTAACTTTATACATAAAAGTGGAGAGACAAATTCATGCCTATTTTGGTTAGTTAACAGTGGTCTCACTCTTCATTTTACTCTGAAAATTCTACTCAGTATCAAGGTTGTTTAGATCTGTATTTTATCATAACGTTTTCTTTGTCCTCCATATTGGAAAATCACTTTTGCTCCCTTGTTGATTGGATTTAACCCACTCATTTTACACATAACCCATATCGTCCTGAATTGTTAGTTATGTATTTTAAGTGTATGCCTTGTTAGTTCTTCCACTGATTAAAATTTTTTGAAGAGATTTTTTTTTATTTTAAAGGGAGTAAAATTAAACACAACAAAACAGAACAAAATAGGACATAAGAAAGCAATGTATGAGATATACATTTCAAAGATAGATGACCTGAGATCTTCTTTGCATATCATATTGTCTCTTGTTTTCTTCCAAATAGTTGTCCATGTCTTCGCATACAGAAAATTCATACAAAACAGCACAGTATAAAACTGATCCAAACAGAATGAGGAAAGCTATTTAGGTCTTTAAAACCAGACCAACAGGGAAGTCACTAATGGCTGTCACAGAGTCTCTTGTTCTCTTCAAAATAGCTATCCATACTTTCATGTATATTGAAGTTCAACAAAACAAAACAGGCAGGGGGAGGGGTTGCTTGGTTTCCCAGCGCTCCAGCTCCCACCATGGCGCAGGTCCCAGTAAACGCTGGTGACTCTCATCCTAGGCCACTGTTGCCTGCCATGCTCACAGCCACTCATGGGTTGGGGTGGGGGTTGCTTGGTTTCCCAGCACTCCGGGTCCCAGCATGGCGCAGGTCCTAGTAAACGCTGGTGACTCTCATCCTGGGCTACTGTCACCTGCCATGCTCACAGCCACTCACGGGGTGGGGTGGGTTGCTTGGTTTCCTGGCTCTCCAGGTCCCAGCATGGCATGGGTCCCAGTAAATGCTAGAGGCTCCTGTCCTGGGCCACTCGAGCCTGCCACGCTCACAGCTGCTCACCAGGGGAGGGAGGGGTTGTTTGGTTTCCCAGTGCTCAGGTCCCAGCATGGCTTGGGTCTCAGTAAATGCTGCTGGTTCCTGTCCTGGGCCGCTGTGATTAAAATTCTTAAGGACAAGTATAAGTAACAATGCATTCTTGAATTTTTATTTATTAATTTAATTTTAAATATGATTAATGAATTATGTTTTAGGAATTTTCACTGTATTGTGGAAATTATCTAGAACATTTGAATAACTATCCTTGGTTATTTGAAATTTTTAAGAATACATAACAAAGAATGATTTCAGTCAACCACTTGCATCCTCTGACTGAAAGCTGACTCTAAAGATTAGGTAGAGATCTCATGTCACTAGCGTGTTTTCAAGCCTCAGTGGGTTCTCTATTGGAAAGCAGTTGTGCAGGGTGTGCAAGTGCCAAGGGCACAATTCCAAGTGCATGTGCTAAGGTGTTGGCTCTCTCCATTTTCCATGCTGCCAGTGGAACCCTGATATCTAAAGATCCTATGTCTGTTCCTTTTGGGCTGGACATCCTCATCTGTCTTCCTACCCTGTCAAAAAAAAGGTGGGGGAGGTATATTATTTGCCAACATGAAAAAAAAGCCTTTTAAGAAGAATGGTCCCTAAAATAATCGCATGGGTAGTCTTGAGATGTTGCAGCAGCTTTGGCATTATTCCCTCTGGATACCTTCGTCTGCACTGAAGTGGAAAGGCTAATGCTGTGTTTCAAAATCAGACTTTTTGGTTTTCCTCCACTGCTTAACTCTTATACATAGAAAGATGGAATTCTTATTTTTAGCTGAGGATTTTGAGGATTCTAATATGATCAGAGTCTAACTTGCACATCACATGATTTCCTCTGTTATATAAAAATCTCTTTCTCCCTCTTACATAAATGAAGATTCATCTATATGGAGATTCCATATTTATATGGCTGTTGCCAGTCATGCTGCTTACTTGGAATATTTTCTTTGTATCTCAAGAATATTTATTATGTAGGGTACCTAACACTTTTTATACATTTATCATTTATTTTCTTCTTGTAGAAAAAGTTTTGAAAACTACTTAAAATAATTAAATAATTAGGATTTTATTATGATATTTGCTAAACAGAATGGATATAATGGATTGTGTGAAGAAGGAGAACTTTCACATGGTGCTAACTGAAATTTTTGACTACTGTCTTGATTGCTGAGAAGCTTGAAAACTATTTGAGTCCGTTTTTCCATCCTCATCTGGTACTGTGTACATCGGGCTTCCAAGTCCCTTGTCGTACAGTTTGCTTACTAATCTTATAAACTTCTGGGGCCAACTGAAGAACTTTTTATGTCCTTTGAATTCTCTGTAAAGCAAAGGAAAACACAGTCTATGTTTGACAACACTGTCAAGGAACATTTTGAAGAAGGCTTTAACCAATTTCATCTCCTCTTCTACTGAAAACAGAGCTGTGGTTTATCAGTTCTGGCTTTGCCTTTGATTTGGCTTAAACTTTGCTTCCTGACACTGTGTACACTGGAGGCTTACTGGACAAATCTACTAAGCCAACACCAGAAGTAGTAAAAGCTAGCTCTTAGTTTGTGTTTCTTGTAGAGGCCTTCGGTGCATGATTTGTAAATGCCACCTACCTGAGACATCTGGAGAATAGCATAAGGTGAAGCAAGTGAAGCACTAAGGGTGTATTTTTTAGTACATTCTTGTTTTCAGTGTTGAGCAAGTAGTGTTAGGCCTTGCTTGTCTCTAAGATTAAGAGCTTCCTCATGTGTACACTCTGAGCTCTTCTCTTGCCTCAATCTAGTTTTGGCTTTAGTGAAATAAGGCTTTTCATTAAAACTTATATTTATATTTACCTTTTTTTCTGTTTCCTTTTTTGTTATTATTTGAGTGGTTTTTTGGTTTGTTTTTATGAGATAAGTTCTCACTATACTGCCTAGATTGGTTTCAAATTACTAGGTTCAAGTGATTCTCCTTCCTTTGTCTTCTTGATAGGTGGTACTATAGGCATGTAGCACTGTATCTAGCTTTTTCTTTGCATTTTGTGTGATGTGTTCAATATATATGAGTGCTTTTTATATGCAATACTTGCTAATGAGATGAATGATTTACAGTGAAGTAGACAGGACAGGACATAACTGGGACAGGATTGTGTAGGACTAATAGCAAGGACAGAACTCACATCCCCAGGGCATCCAGCCTGTAAAGCCTGTTTCTTGGCTCTACCTACACTTTATGATTTTATCCATCTATGGTAGATTCAGACACTGCAAGCTATAAAAGCTGCCCAGTTAATCTGAACACACTACGTGGACTCACAAGTGCTGCTCTTGAAGTTTTAAAAACAAGGAAAGCTATGATCAGTTGTCTGCCTGTTCCCTATTAGCACCGAGTTGCCATTTTACAGAAGTTATATGACATTCTGCCACATGTGGGAAGGTGTGATCGCCTCCACTTTTAAAAAGGAGGGGAAGCATAGTCAGGTGGTATGTGGCTTTTACTCTGCTTTTCACTTCCAGACTGGGAGGCCCTGAGTTTTTGCTGTCTTTCATGCAGCAAAATATCTATATTTCCTTCAGGGATGACACATTAATTGCACTAGAGGGGTTGGGATAGGCCAGATGAGCTCTATGTTGGTGGCAGGAGTTTTAAGAAAAGGATCTGGGAAGAAAGACTTCCAAGGTGGGGAGATTAGAGAGCAGTGGTTAGATGTGGAAATGAGATGGCCACAAGCTTGAGTTCTCTGAGAGATTCTGGTTAGAGTAAGGTAGTGGAAAATTCAATTGCACAAATAAAGCCAGATGTGGCTTTTACGAGAGGGCTTATAGGGTAGAGTATGACCATACAGTAAAGGTAGAAAATTTTTATGAAGATAACTGTAGGAGTAAGAGCTATAGTGGCTGTGAGATAATACACAGCAAATTCTTTTCTTCTTTGCATTTTATAATTATCACATAGTGATCTAATGTTTTTGTAATTTAAAGATTAAAAGGCTGGTTCAAAGTGGGCCTTTGGAATGATGAATCAGTTCACAGGTCCTAAGAAATATTTGGAAGTAAATATTGAACAATCTGTGTTAAAGCCAGGGTTAAGACATTAGATCACAATCTTTTTAAAGAGCTTACTGGGAAACTGAGACAGGTCTCCCCAGGTCTGCCGTTGGGGCTGGATAGAGCTGCTATTATGAATCATCCCATGTGGTTACGGTTTGCAATCATGTGGGGGAATCGTTGAGCTAGCGGATGAAGCACAAAGATCAGTGATTAAAAATATCATCGAATATTGGAACAATATTTCGGCACTGCTCCATTTCTTCTAACAACACAGATAATCCAACCAACTCCAGAAGTCCCACTCCCCATGCTGAATCCTAACTTATCACCAGCACACATTCAGATACTACCAGCTTTGTTCTGGCAGTGGAAAGCAATCAGATGATTCTGGTTCCCTGAATCTAGCATGAATCCTGGACATGATATTGATATCAAGGTTTCAAAGAACAAAGAAGTTTCCATTAATGCAGTGAACATAAACACAACTCAGAGGATGCTAAATCATACCAGAAGAAAGGATTTCAAGACAGCAAGCATGAGGCCCCGAGGGGAGGACTGTTAGTAAATGATCTGACTTCATCTTGTCTCAAACAACTTTGCTGTCTCCTCTACATTGTTATCTCTCCAGTACCTGGAAAACTTCATCACCAAATTTGGGGACTCTGATTTTATCCTTGTGGCTCTGGGCTCAATGGTGAGTAGTTACCAGAAACAGGAAGACCTCGAGGAGATGAACAGTGCCTTTTTCTAACTCTCGCAATGAATGGTAGGAAAGGATAAGAATTTTCTTTGGCCCAAAGATGTCAAATTGGCTGCAAATGTGAAAATCGTGAACTGGCTTCCTCAGAATGATCTAGGTAAGGGCTGTCTGGGTCTGTTCGTTTCTTTCCATTGATATGTCTTTAGGGATCACAGGACTCATAGCTCTAGCTGGGCATAGGCACCAACATAAGAAGGAGCTGCTCTTAGGGAAAGGTATGTCTTCAGAGGGGAGGAAAGAAGCAGCCATTTGGAGTTCTTGGGGGAATCAAGCTATTCTTCTATGAGGCTAGGCACCAAAACAACATGTTTCTGTCATTCCTTTCTATCTCAGGCCTACTGTCTATAATCAAGAGTGAAACTCTTGCCAACTCCTCTTCATTCTACTGCACTTAGTCTTGGAAAATGGCATCCAAAAAGGTCCAAGACAACCCATTAACTGAGAATACAGCTGTGGGTGGATGCGGAGGAAGGTGCCACTCTTAATGGTTTCATAAGCACCAATTCAGTCATGGGTCTTTACATGAACAAATGGCTATGCATTCACTTTATAAATATACTAAAGATCTGAGCAACTCAAATCAATGTCATGGATGTCAATGATTTATTGAGAATATACTTAAATACCTTGATGGTGACAAGCTTAGCAAACTTACGGTTGTTTTTTGACTTGGGTTGTCTAGTGACAAAGAACTTTCTCACCCTTCAACAGATTTTCATTGTGCCCAGTGTTCCTTCTTAGTCATCTTGTTACAGTCCCTGACTAGAACAGAGGCTCAGAATCAAGACTGTGGTTTAAAATAACTTGGGGAATTAAGAAACAGATTCTTGTTTTCCTTTAGTAAATGCATTTCTTTGCATGTGGTGAAGCACACGATTCCCATTTCAAAGAAGTGACAAGAAGTTTCTGACAGACACTGCAATTGAATGACACAAGCTGAGATACTATTTTTCATTATGAGTAATCATTTTAGTTATCTCTAAATAATGCTGTGATGGAAAGACAGGAATGGGAGATACTAAGCTGTAGAGTCTGGTCTGTTTTTAACGGAATTTTTATATAATAGAGGATACAATACAATCTGCAAGGGTTTTTTTGACATAAGTTGTGAATGTGTCAATGAATGTGACAGAAATGAAGGGAAAAGAGTAATTAGTTGGCAGTAAAGATCTCAGGATGAAAGGAGAGGAGTAAGACAGATACGTGAGGAGAAAGAGCAGAAATGAGAAAAGCAAAGAGAGACACAAAGAGCACAGAAATAAGGATGAATGGATGGATGGGGTACATAGAAGTACATGTCTTTTTTAGTATTTTTTCTGCATGCTGACTATTAGCAAGATTCTGGTTGAGTTGAAAAGTTTGTATACAAAAGCAAGTGCCTTACTTTTTTTTTTTCTGAGACAAAATACCAGACACTCAAGGTTAAGAAGGAAATGTTTATTTCAGTTCACAGTTTGTAAGGTTTTAGTCCATACTCTGCTGATTCCAAGGTAGAGTGGCATGGCAGAGGGGCATCAAAGGGGAGGAACTTCATGGAAAGCAGGCAGGAGACATAAAGCAGCAAACAGCAGGCCGTGAGCAGCAACAGCGAGCCTTTCCTTTTCATCTGATCCAAGGTTCCAGCCACCCACACCCGTGGTGGAGGGCTGCTGTCTTCAGTAAATCCATTCAGCCACACCCAGAACTATGCCAATTCAATCAGTGGACTAATTTAGTACCACACACCCTTAATCCCATAAATGTCTCATCTATGAGCACATGAGACTTTTGGGTGACATCTAGATACAAGCCATAACAGCAAGTTCTGAGTCCTGGATCTTGAAGCATGCATCACTGAATGTGCCTCAAGCAAAGTCATTATTTACAATGGTTAGATTCTCTCTGTATTTCCTTATGTTGGTCTGGTCTACTTGGTGTTCCAAAATTTCAACCTGAAATGTTCTGCTTTTCTTTCTTTTTTTCTTTTTTTGCAACAGCTCACTCTCACATCCATCTCTTTGCCACAAATGGTAGCTGAATAGCATAGCAGAGACCAGCCAGTGTGGTGTGGCCATGGTTCCTCTCTTTGGAGAACAGCCTGAAAACATGGTCCACGTAGAAACTCCAAAAAAAACTTGGAGTTTCTCTTCCATTAAAGAAGCTCAAGACAGAGACACTGACACTGACTTAAGATGAAACAAGTCATAGAAGACAAGAGGTAGCAGTTCTGTGGGATTGTGGTTAGTTAGGCTCATGGTGGCCTGACCCTACCATTCTGTGTGTCTGTTTTTCATTAGAGATTAAATTATCAGGATGTGTGTTTCTGTAAAACTAATAGCTGGCCTGTGTCCTCTGAGAACAATACTAGAGCAATATAATGCAAAGAATAAGTTTCAAGCTATGGCTTCGAGGGACCCAAACTCTACACACAGGGGTTCTGAGAATATTTATACTTTGGGTCCTTACACTAGAATTCCACTGAGGCAGGCAGCTTCTTTTCTGTTCCATAAATACTTCCCGCTCTTTTCTTCCTTGGCCTTTTGCCTGTGCTTGTTGTTAATGCTTCTTCCCTTCTCTTTAGGGATGGCTTCTTCATGGCATTCGAACCTCACCTGTAATGTCACCTTCTGAGAGGCTTCCTCTCTGACAGTACTCCTAGCCTCTCTTCTGACACCCAGTTATTTTATCTCCTTCCTACTGCTTCTTAGAGTTTACAATTACTTATTCATTTTTCATTTAATTGTTGTCCTCCCACACTAGAGAGTAGAGAACAAGTTCTGTAAGGACAACAGAGTATGTTCCTTGTTTTCTATGATGTTTTCGGTGACTGGCACAAGATCTGCCACCATATAAGTAATTAATGAATTAAACAAGGCAAAAAAAAAAAAGGCCCAATGACCTCCAAGGTAAATAACCATTCATCCAGTACAATAATCTCATGGGAGAATTAAAGTTTTTTTATTTATAAGTTAGAAGAAATGAACAATTTACTAGTTTTAAGAGCATAAACCTGAATCAGGCCTCATTTCTTATTACCATCCACACAAGATATACTCAAGTCATTCTTACCAAATAAATGAAAAACAAACACATAGCTGAAGGCTTTAGAGATAGATAAGTTATTACACACCAGGAAAATTGTATATATTTTAAATTTAATGTATTATGGGTGTTCCTTTGGGTTTTTCAAAGGATTAAACTCCAAATATACATTATCTGCAGGCTTCATTGAAGGGATCATTCTGGGATGGGGTGGTCCTCAAATATATAGCATCATTAGGACAAGTTACATAATTTGTAACTAGAGGGAAACAAAAACTTGAGAACTCTTGCATAAAGCTTAGAAATTTCTAGATGGTGACAGGATCAAACACAGGATGTTACAAAGTGTGTTGAGCAAATACACAGGTCTCAATCGAGGAAGCCATCCCTGGTCAACATGACATGCTGATGGTTCAGGGAAGTGCAGGACTCCTTCTGGCCTGGCATTCCCCAGGAAATGATTACCACTGAGTCAAGAAGATAGCTCTAAAATGTATGAGATCTACATGTATGCAAAATGATTGTATCACATATAATTTTCCTATAGTGTGCAGTCCTAACAGATTAAGTCACTTTTATACAGTGAAGCACTTTCAGAATTAACTACAGATCTTTATGTCCAGGTTTTTTATTGAAAATTTCAAAGGGATCCAGATATAGTTCCAAGGTGATGCCAAATAATTTTCTTGGAAAAGTACCTATAGGCATAAAGTTGTAAAATAAGTTTGTGTGCTATATAACTGCATGTATATTTAAGTGTATACGATAGAAAATGATATCACAGAGTTTTATTGGAGCAATGAACAGAACTGTTTGCAGTATCATTGATGGAATGTCCACTTTACAAGCTTTAATTTTGTGACTTGAACAATTATTTCTAAGATGACAATATGTAATCCATTAACTAGTGATTTCCTACTGTTCATTTTTTTTCTGTAAATCTGTATAACTTGTACCCTTTCTCTGCTTTTTTTTCTTTTCTCCTTAAATAAAATTTTAAAAAAAGTGTGTGTGTGTGTGTGTGTGTGTGTGTGTGTGTGTGTGTGTGTGTATGTGTGTGTGTGTGTGTGTGGTATGGGGGGGGAGACAGAGAGACAGAGAGAAAGAGAGAGAGAAGTTCTCTAAGTCTTATGATACCACATCTATAATACCCCTTTTCTGTCTCCTCCTAAAGGTACAAGTCTGCTGTGGTGGCTGCCAGCATCATCCAATGCTCCCACCCTCTGTACCCTTCTCAGAGACTGGTGGGATGGATCGCCTACAACCTCTGTATGAGGGTGCTGCACACCTCAAGCTCTTTGCCTTCCAGCAGCCATGGTATGAGCAGTATTTGCTTGATGTATTTTTGTTCCTGCTCATCCAGCTCACTCTGAGCATCATGTGGTTCTGTGGGAAGTTGCTGGGTATGGTGACCAGGTGACCGAGTGGGGAAAAGAAGCTGAAAAAGGTTTGATGCCAAATGCAGCTTTGTTGGGGGGCTGTCGGAGAATTCCTGATTCTTTGACTCTTTCCCTCATCCTAGCACAGGAAACCCTGGTGTCTTTCCCTTTCCTGCACCTGCCCATGTTTTGACATTTGCTCTTCACTATTATCTGCCTTTGCTTTGAAACCCTTATGTACCACTAATGGACTTGCTGACTGTCCACCAGTGACTCGGACACCTCAACTCAGTTACAAATCTTCCCAACCCAGCCCTGCCTTCTCCTCACTGCCTTGCCCAGGTGCAGTGCTCTGGCAATTTCATTCTGTCTGTCCAGATGACTCTTCTGTCTTTCCCAGTTTTTCTTCTATCACTTGATGTAAAAAAATTTAAAATATTTGGCAAATTCTTACACTTTATACCTGCATCTTTTCTGTCCTGTAAGCCCTCTTTAAAGTTCAGGAAGCCTGGCCTATCACTTAGGCAGAAACAGTTTTCCCAACGAAGAGTTAGTTCACAACGTAAGAAAGAAAACACAAAAAAACTTTTGCATGGATAAAAAAAAAAGACCAAGAGGAATGTCATACACAGATGAAATACTGGGAGAAAGAAATTTCCCAACATACATTATATGTGAAAGGCTAATCCCCTGTAAAGAAGTTAAAATGAGGAAGGAAGCTGTGGAGCAAATGGATGCAACTAGAGACTATTGTAAATGAAATGAATGAGCCTTGTATGTGTAAACATTGTATTGTCTCCATAGTATAAAAACTGAAAGAATAAATCAGATCCAAAATCTACAGTAACTATGAAAGTGAAAGAGGAAGAAACTGCTCAAAAGGAAAGAGCAGCTGGGGTGGGGGAAAAGAGAAAGGAAGGAAAGGAAAAGAAAAGAAATATATATATATATATATATATATATATATATATATATGTGAGATAGTTAAGATAATTGTACTACGATTTCTTTTAGTTCATTGAAAAGAACAGTTTGTGCCTATATTGTTAGATCAACTTTTCATGCCTATATTTTGTAATCTGAGTAACTACTTTGAAGATAACAATATGCAATATATAAACAATTGTTAATTTCCTACTATCTTGATGTGAAATTCTGTATTATTGTTTTTTCTTTTTAAAATTAACAGAAGACACTATGGAACATCCAGATACTGGAATAATACACAACTACAAATTGATACACAGTGAATTTCACTATTGTTAAGTAAAAAAGGGTAGACTGAAAGAATGAATATAGAATGTCCGATCTTTGTAAGATAAAGTAAGTTGATGAGGGGAGGATAAAAGAAGATAAACCCATCCTTCACAGAATATACATTTAGTTTTCATAAAAAGAATATATCAGAGAATCATGTGTCAGAATATCTACTAAAGTGTTAATGGAATAAGATGAGCAAGATGATGAAGAAGGTGAAATGTGAGTTTAGCATTTCATGTAGCTTTGAGTTTTGGAGTTATGTGAATATGATATGCAGGAAATACTTATTTCAATAGACAATAGAAGAAATCTTTAAAATTAAGTTTGAACAGAAATAAACTTTATCTTTTTACAGGTGGATACCATAACCATAAAACATGAAAAAATATTTAACAGAATTAACCACTGAATAGAATAAATTAACGTGAGTATACAAGTATCACTTTAAAAGCAAATATAACTGTAAAAAGTCATATACTTTATTGTGTAAGTTTGTAATTCACAGTTTTATGGGTTAATGCACTGAAGTCCATTTTTCACTCTTTGGATTGAGCAAATGAGTAAATGAACTGATAATACTGAGCCAAGTTCCTAAAAGGAATTAGAAATGTGGGAATGATAATACTCACAACTCATTTGGTGTTGTAGGTATAAGATTCACAGCCTTTTGTCCTTGGTCCTAATAAAAGTGGGCTGATCCAGAGAAGTCTGTCTTAGCTCTCAGAGTCGTGAACTCAACTAGAGGGTTTTGACCCTCCTGGAGCCCTAAAAAAATTATACAATTTGTCCTTTTTAAATTGTCCTCTGCCATACACTCGTTTGGAAGATCGGGGATCTAAGGTCAGGACCTGATATAGGAGTATGGAAGTTATTCACTGGCAACTATCTTGGTTTTAACCAAGAATTTAAGATGACAAAATGTATATGTGGGAGATTGGTAAAGGTCAGTTAGTTGATAAAGAAGAGTCAGTGCAGGTTGAAAATATCACCATCAATGATATTTACATTGGAGAAATTACAACTATGACTGAGAGAATGCAACCATAATCAAACATTAATGTTAATGTTATTAATATTAATGTAATAATCTGACATTATGTGTTTCCTCCTGTGAGCCCTGAAAGGCAAATGACATCACTCACACAAACAACATAACGAGCAGATAAGAAGAAAACATCAGAAGAACTCAAATTGAGAGCCATTCGCAAAATAATATACTTCAAAATGTTAATGACATAAAAGATAAGAAAATCTAATTAACTAAACCTTACTGAAGGGGATGTAACAGAATAATTGAATGCCATGAACAATCTTTGGTTGACATCATTAGTAGAAAATTATGTTGTTTCAGAGAGTATTATTGGGATAATTGGTGAAATTTGAATAAGGGCCTTCTATTACACCAACTGTTAAAAATGACACATGCATAATGAAGATTAATTGACTCTCTCTTAGTCTCAGTTTCATTAATTTCTGCTCTGATGTTTATAATTTTTCTCTCTCAGATCATTTTGGGTTTAACTTGCTCTTCTTTTTCTGGAAGTTTGAGGTTCAAAATTATTTGCTTGAGGTTGCTCGTTTTGCTCATGTAGGAATTCAACATGATAAGTTTCCCTCAGAAGACTGACTTCATTGCACACATAATTTTTGATATCTTGTATTGGCATTATCGTTTAATTGTAGAAACCATCTAAGTTCTTCTTTAATTTCATCTGTGACCAATTGGCTGTTCAGGAAGTTGTTATTTAATTTTATGCATCTATGTAGTTTCTTTATTTCTTTTACAATTTATTTTCAATTCCATTGCATCAGAATCTGATAATATTTGTGGGATAATCTCAATTCTTTTCAATTTATTTAAACATATTCTATGAGCTAGTATGTGACCTATTTTGGAGAAAATTCTGTGTGCTGCAGAGAAGAATGTGTATTCTGTTGCTGTTGGGTAGAATAATCCTTAGCATTGACTAACTCCATTTGTTCAAAAGTTTTATTGGGCTCTTATACTTCTTTGTTAATTTTCCTGTCTTGTTGATTTATTTATGACAGTAGGTATTGAGATCTCCCATTACAATTATATCAGTGCTTATCTGATTTTTAATATACCTTAGTGTTTGTTTCATATAGTTGGGTGCACTGGTATTTGGTGCATATATATTTATGATAATGTCTCCCTCTTGGATTGTTCCTGTTTGTCTCTTCTCATTAGTTTTGGCTTGAAATCCATTTTGTTTGCAAATAGAATAGCCTCCCCTGCTTTTTCCTAGGTTCTGGTCACATGGAGTATTATTTTCCATTTTATAGGTTTCAGTCTATGAGTTTCTTTTCTAGTTAAATATATTTCTTGATTGTAACATATTGAGGATCTTGTTTCTTAATCCAATATGCCAATCTGTTTCAAGAGGTGAACTGAGATTATTCACATCGATGGCTATAATATGCATTGACTTATCCTTGTCATATTATTTTCTTGCTGTTGGTTCTTATTCCCCTTTATATTTAATTACTTGCCCTGCCTGGTAGATTCAAATTTTATTGGGATTCTTGAAATTGTTTCCTTTTTCTCAAATATTCTTCAGAAATTTTGGGCATGCAAGTTTCTCTTTCATGGATATATCTTATTTCTCCATCAATTTTGAAAGATAATTTTGTGGGGTACATCAGTCTGAGTTGAAGTTTGTTTTCTTTTAGGGATTGAAATACTTTAAGCTCTCCTTGAATTAAGGGTTTGTGTTAAGAAGTCTGCTGTGATTCCAATGGGCTTTACTTTATAGGTAATTAGCTTCTTTTCTTTAGTAGCTTTTTTTTTTTTTTTTTTTAAATTTTATTTAAGGAGAAAAGAAAAAAAAAGCAAAGAAAGGGTACAAGTTATACAGATTTGCAGAAAAAAAAATGAACAGTAGGAAATCACTAGTTAATGGATTACATATTGTCATCTTAGAAATAATTGTTCAAGTCACAAAATTAAAGCTTGTAAAGTGGACATTCCATCAATGATACTGCAAACAGTTCTGTTCAATGATCCAATAAAACTCTGTGATATCATTTTCCATCCTATACACTTAAACATACATGCAGTTATATAGTATAGAGCACTTTCTTTTCCTCTCTTTTGTACAATAACAATTACATATTTTGGGTTTCATTGCTCCCATGGTTCTTATTACTTTTTTGGAAGAGAGTAAAACCAAATGTGACATAACAGAACAGAATCGGTCAAGTCAAAAGGGTGGACATAATAGATAATGTGAAAACATAATACAAGGTGATCAACAATCGTTACCATAATGCCTCCCGCTATCTCTAATAGAATTGCCTATACCATTAGTTATAATACAATTGAACAAAACAGTAAAGAATAAAACCGACAAAACCAAAACACTGGAGACATTGTAGGTCTTCAAAAATAGATAAAAGTCAACGAGAATGGGCGTTATAATGAATCTCATTATCTTCACAGCTGACGCCTAAATTTTCGAACCTGATACTATCCAGCAAAACAGAATAGGGGAACCTCAGTCAAAAACAAGATGGTGAGAGTAATACAGGGCTTCAAATCGAGATAATAGAAAGTCAAAGTGGGTTACTATAATATATCCTGCTATTTTTTTCCTTTAATTAAAAGGATAAAAATAAAAAAGTAAATAATGGAGTGGAGATTGAGATAAAAGAGGGCATAACAACGAAACAGCACAGATCAAAACATAACCATTTAAGCAGAATAGTGTTTCACCACCAGATAATCCTGACCTAAAAGTAGTTACCATATTATCTCTTTCCTTGAAATCCTTGAGTACAACTTCGTATACTGCAGGATTAAGTATATCAAAACAATGTAAAACCATTTAAGAGAATGACAGCATTACAGAGTATTTAGAATCGACTAACAGAAAATGAACAATGGTTTCTGTATAATCTCCTTGTCTTTAAAAGGTTTTTGCTTATACTATCGTACATAATAAAATCCAGTAAGATACAACCTATTTGGACCATTGGAGACAGAAGGACAAAAGCTAGATGAGACTTCAAAACAAGATGATACTAAATCAGTATTACCTATTAAGATGTCATTTTCTCCAAAATAGCTGTTCCTATCATCCAATCTTCTCTGCCTCATTTCTGTTGAGCTCTTATTCTGTCAGTAGCTGTCAGTTTGTCTTCTTCACTTTGTTCTCTGCTCCATTCGTTGTGTCCTCCATTATTTCAGGACTCTTTGTATTTTTCTTTTTTTAGAATATCCTGCAATACTCTCTGTAGAGTTGAATTGGTGGTTGCAAATTCCCCCAGTTCCTCTTTATCCTGGAAGCACCTTGTTTTTCCATCAATTTCCAGGGACAGTTGTGCAGGATATCTCAATCTTGGCTGGAGATTATTATCTTTCAAAGCTTGAATTATTTCCCTCCACGCTCTTCGTGATTTGATGGTTTGTGCAGAGAAATCTGCTGTAATTCTGATGGGTGCTCCCTTGTAAGTGGTCTGTTTCTTGTCTCTGACAGCTTTTAATATTCTGTTCTTGTATTGAATTTCTGGAATTTTTATTATTATATGCCTGGGTGTTGCTCTGTTTGGGTTGTAGGTAGCTGGGGTCCTGTATGCCTCATACATCTGAGTATCTTTACCTTTTGCTAAATTAGGAAAATTCTCCTGGATTATTTCTGTGAGTAGCTTTTGTAGTTCATTTGTTTGTGTCCCTACTTCTTCTTTTATGTTCTTAATCCTTAAGTTATGGATCCTCTTATCATCTTCTTGTCTTTGTATTATTGCTGTTTGTTTCTTTGTTATTTTTAAGAAGTTTTTCATTTCATTCTCCGATATTACAATTCTGCCCTCCAGTTCAGATAGTCTGTCCTTAGTTTCTTTCAAGCTGTTATGCCAGGCTTCGATAGACTTCTTAGTTTCTTGGTAGTCCCTTTGAACCTGCTTCACGTATTCTATGCTTTCTCTGTTTTCTCCATCAAACAATTCTCCCCTCTTTTTCTGTTCTTCCATTCCACCATCTGTTTTTTCTTGGGTGGTGCTTAGCATTTCTCTAACTATTTTGCATACTTCTAGCTTCAGGTCGTTGATAACTTCATTCCTGAATTGGTCTATGAGGCTCTCTATGTGGCGCCTTATGTGTAATGGTGCGGTGTCTGCTATTGCCTGTTTCTCAGAATTGGGGGCTGAGGAGCCTTTCTTGTTGCTGCCTCTTCCCATATTCTCTGTTCCTTATATATGCAAGCTTATATGAGAGGCCCAGCTTCTCTCCCTGTCAGCCACAGCCTGATCGAATTGCGCCGGTTAGGTGTTCCCGCTCACCGCTGCGCACCAGGCAGCCTACGCGGGGCCCGCCCCTCCCGGCCTCCGTCGGGCTCTGGGATCTGGGTTAGGCCAGCCTACGGGGTCCGCCGGCAGCGTCACGCAGGTCAGGCACTTTTCACCAATCCCGCCCGAGAGGGGGATGTGTGGCTGGAGTCCCCACCGCGCCCTGCTCCCACAGGACTGCTCGGGCCCAGAAAGTCCGCTGGAGTCAAACTGTGGTGGAGTGTCAGTTTCTCTCACTCACCTCGCCACAAGTCAGAACATGCCTCCCTGCCCGTCCTGTTTTCGACTCCGTTCGCAGACTCCCGTTCTCAGAGTTTCCGTGCGTCTCTCTCCTTGCGAGCCGATGTAGAGGCAGCCAGCCACCGCAGGGTGGGAAACCCAAATGGCGTGGTGTCCAGCCTCAGCAGCGAGGCTTTTCTGTTCCTGTTTTAGCACCAGGACTGCATTCCAAGTTGGTTACTCTCAGCCGAGTTCGTTCCTGAGTCAGCAGAGCATAACTCCACCTGCTTATGTCTCTTTAGTCCGCACTATACCTGGCTTCTGAGCCTAGTTTTTAGAGAGCCTCCGGTAGTTGCTGTTATCTGTCCGCCATGTTCTCCCGGAAGTCGATATTTTTCATTCAAGATGGCAGAGAGAACGTCTTAAAATAGTGCTACACAAAAGCACTCACATCCAGAGCCTGGACTCAGGAGAACTGGCTACACCTCAAAAACCACCTCTTCGTCAAACTCCGGTGTCATCCTTCTCCGCCATGCCACCCACCTCAGCACGATGGGAAATGAAGGCAGAAGAACAGGCGGCACCCAGACTTCTCTTTAGTAGCTTTTAATATTGCATGCTTGTGTTGAGTTTCTGCGATCTTGTCTATCCTACTGCTTGGTGTACTTTTTTCTGATCATGACTGTTTGGAATTCAATATGCCTCACTTATTTGCATCTCAAATTCTGTTTTTTTCACTTTTTGAAAGTTTTCTGCTATTACTTCTGTAATTACATTTTTTACATTTTTTGTGGTATCTTCTGATTCTTCATTGATTACAATTAATCTTACGTTATTATTCTTGCATCATCTATCAGCTGTTGAATCAATATTTCTTGGTCTCTTGCTATTTTTAAGAGATCTGTCACTTGGTTATCACTAACAAATTCATAATCTCTTTGGGGAAAATCTGTACCACATTATTAAAATGTTGACAGAGTTTTAGGCTTTTAAAAGTAGTTTTATTATTTTTACAGTATTTTTATTAAATACAAATTTCAACAAAAATCCTCTTCCTGTACCTTTATAACTAGGAGACATTATGTCCCAGGACACATTTCATCTTTGTTTTTGCTGGCCTAACACGTTACATCTGTAATTCTTAGGGACTGGCTGCAACCACAAATGCCATGGGCTTAAGGCATTCAGTCCAGACAATTTGTATCCCTTCCACAAAGTCTCGACATTTTTGGTGAGTAGGTCAGGAAGCAGATTCATAGCTAGTATAAAAAAGCCCCTAACTTCCAGTTCAAGGTTATGATTTAATGCCTGGGTACTTCTGATTCTCCATAAATGGTATCTACTTTAGGTATCTTCATTTTCTTTATAACTTGAAATCAATTTCAGATTACTGGGATTTACACAATTTAATATAGTCACCTTTCTCTCAAATCTCAGAATCCACACACAGTTAATCACAGGAGTCAGTAATGTCAACTTTGCCACGCCAATAGTAAAACTTTTTTCTAGATATTAAATAAGTATTAAGAGTCTGAAGAAGGCTATGATTCACCTCAATTTTGTTTGACCTGATCCTTTTTAGAGATTATTGCTATTCTGATGAGTTTGCTGACATGTGCTTACTGGCTTGTTCCAGGGAGACTCTAAGCTCAGGCTTTCATGTAGTCCGAAATTCCTTGTTTTTCTAATATATGAATTTCAGCTGCCTTGTCCTCCTCCTGAAACCTGAATTCAATCTTTTCCACTCCAGTGAAATGCCCTAAAAATATGCAATCTCTAACTCCATGACATGTATTCTAAAATTTCTCTCTAGCCTGTTACAAAGGTCCTGAAACTCTCACTGTTCAACATCTTGAAATTGTTTTACTGTTTCTTTTTTTGTTTGTTTGTTTAAACTTACTAAATTAGGCTGTCTGCTTGTCTGCACTTTTGTGTTTTAAAAATCTGATATGGACATTTTTATGTAGGTCTTTGTATAAATGTTATATTTTCTCTTAATACCTATCAGCCCTGTGCCTGCAATGTTTTAGGTATTTTTGCCTTTTTTAAAAAAGTAGCAACAGAAGAATCTTCAACTTAGCAAAGTTAGTGGTAAGAAAAGAGAAACTATATTCCAAAGAAAGAGAGAAAGATTGAGAAAGAAAAAAGTGGTGAAAGGAAATTTAAAAAAACAGAGAAAAAGAAAGACAGACAAAGGTCCACAGCAGTCCACAACATAAGTCTTGACTCCTGATGACGGTGGTAGGAGGTGGACCCAACATCAAACACAATATAAATCCACACAAGGCTAGAAACTCCCAAGATGAAAAATAGATGGGCAGCCCAGCTGCCTGAGGGAACCATGGCTATTACAGACTTTAAGTTTGGATTGAGAATTTTGTCAGAAAGTAGCTTTGCTTGTATGAGGGGTTAGCTTTGGAGAAGCAATATACTGTAGCACTTCTCGTATATTGGAGTGATATGCCCAGAAGCTCTCTTAAAACCTTTCATGCATAAGATTGGGTAAAATACACCGGATCACAATTTTACAGTGAGATATTTACTTTTGTATTATGTTATCTGGCTGTGCATCACTAACTGTACTGGGGAAATACGGGAAGTGATATTTGTGTACACTTACTTTGTAATGAATGAAAAGGTGTATACACTTGTGATTAATTATCAATGGAACTAGACCAATTCAGTACAACACATTGTGAAAACCTGCTTTTACAACTGTGGGAGAAGGCTGAAAGTGATTCATCAGATGATTCAGGTTCGGATAATGTACTGTTCTTATGACCTGGCAAATCCACACCTAGACATCCAACTTTCACCACTTTTCAGGAAATTTAACCTTATAAAGAGTAGGCTTATTGTCTGAGATTGAGCTAGGGTGGAGGTCTAAAGTCATAAAATAATAAAAGTCATAAAGAAATCATAGAGTTGCCATGGAAATCCTACATTGGTGACTGATTGGGAAATAGCCAGAAGAGACTGTCATGAAATTAGTTGGAGAACATGGAATTGTTTTCCTAATTTCTTTTTCAAATAGTCCTTTTTTCCACTGTTTCCATTATGGGAAGGACAACACTTTGACTTTACTGGCATAGACTTTTATTCTAGGTATGGATTTGTTTTCCCTGCACATGATACTTCTGTGGAATCTACTATCTGTGGACTTATAAAATGCCTAATCTACTGTCATGGTAGTCCATATAGGATTGCTTCTGAGCCAAGGAAATAAGGCAGTGGGCTCCTGCTCATAGAGTTCCCTGATCTTATAATATTCCTCAGCGTCCAGAAACAGCTGGGTTGGCAGAAAGGTGGAAGGGACTTTTGAAGTTGTAATTACAATACTAGCTGGGTGGCAATATCTTTCAAGGCTGAGGCAAAATTCTTCAAAAGGCTGTATGTGCTTTGAATCAGTGCCAATTATTGTAGGGAGCGGCTTCGAATAGCTGCTGCTGCCCTGCCCCTCCCGCCTGAGGGCATTTAGTGTGTCAGCCTACATTTCCCATGATCCTCATGTCCGCCTACATTACCCATAATCCTCTCCTGCTTACGTCATATATCCGGATGTGATGATGACCTATCAGATAACACTCTGTGCCCTCTTCCTGCCCTTGGCCCGCCCCCCACCCTATATAAGTTGTAGCCATAATTGCATCCTGTCTCCATCTCTCTTTTCTCTTGCCCTGCCCCCATCCCCATCCCCTCTCCAGGTGAGACCCATAGATTGGTCCGCAGGCCGGATCAAACTATATAACACGGTTTCTCCTATAACCATGATTCATTAGTCCAGAAATTAAGGGGTAGAAATGACAATGGCACCATTCACCATTATTCCTAATGACTCACTAGCAAAATTTTTGCTTCCTACTCTAATGAACTTATACTCTTCTGACCTAGAAGTCTTCATTTCAGAGTGGTGAAGGCTTGAACCAGAAGCACAACAATGATTCCAATGAACTGGAAGCTAAAATCTCCCCTTGGTCATTTTGGGCTCCTCATGCCACAGACTAAAAAAGCTAAAAAGGGAGTTATGACATTGGAAGGGGCAATTGATCCAAATTATCAAGGGTAAGCTGGATTATTAATCCATAATGGTGGAAAGGAAGAATATACTTGGAGTGCAGAAGATCTCTTAGGAGACCTAATAGTATTAACATGACTTGGTATTGAAGTCAATAGGGAAGCACAACAATCCAGTCTAGGTAGGCTGAGAACTGGCCTAGAATCATCAGAAAAAAAAGTATAGGTCATCTTTCCAGGAAAAGAACCAAGACTGAATGAGATGCTAGCTGAAGGCCAAAGGAACATAGAATAGGCAACAGAAGAAGGTAATTATAAATACCAGTGATAATTATATGATCAGTTACAGAAATGAGAATTGTAATTACAATTGTTATCTTCAATTCTGCTAATATGCACTATATCTATCTATCTATCTATCTATCTATCTAATTATAACTTTTTTTTGAACCAAGAATCAAAATCAGGACCTTGAGCTTGCCAGGCAGGTACTGCGCTGCTGAGCTATATTGCTGGCTCTAAATTGAATATTACCTCACCAAAAAACGTTAAGAATATTACCTCACCAAAAAAAATTTTTGCCTGCTGTTCTGAGGGATAATATTAGTGTGCTTCCATTTGTACTCTGGAGTAGTTGTACCATATTAGGTGTACTTAGGAACTCAAGTATGATTTTGAGGCAGTGTGCCTGGTTGTCAAGTTGACAAGGGGTGGACTGTGTAGTTAATTGTGGTGTCAACTTGAGTAAGAAATGCCTACTTGATTGACATAGCAGAGTTATGAGTGTGTCTGGCTGAGTGACTCACTGAAGAAGGAAGACCCACTGTGGGTGTCAGTGGTTCCAGCCAGTAGACTTGTAACTTGGATGGAATAAAAAGGAAAAGAAGAATGGAATCTCACTTCTGCTTCTTTGGAGGCACTACAGTCTTCACCATTACCTTTGAACATCTGTAGCTAAGCTTCCAGTGCAGAATTTTCAGCCTCCCAACAGAGAGTCTTTAACCTTTCAATACAGATACTTTGGATTCCTGATAAAGACTCATGGACTCTATAGTGAGCTCCAAGTTTTTGCTTTTGATTGTATACCTTGATACCTTGTTTAAAAAAGGCCTACCTTATTATTGTAAGCCTAACTTGTTTGAAAAAAAGAATATATATATATAGTTTTTTCCCAGCTACTTTCTGGGATAAAATATTTGACACCCACAAGTGAAAGACAGAAAGATTTACCTTAGCTTACAGGGATTTAGTCCATAGTTGACTGGCTCAAGGCAAGGCGGCATGGCAAAGGAGAAATAGTCTGTGACATGGTAACCAGAAAAAATTTAGTAGCAGCAAAGTTTCTTTCCTCTTTTTATTTCATTGCAGATATATATATATATCTATATGTCTATATATATATCTATATATCTCTATATATCTATATATATTCTACTTTCTATTTATGTGAGTTTATTTATATTTTTAAATAAATGTTCCCCATGCATATGTCTTGAGTGAATACACTTGGATTGCCTTCTAAAACAATTTCTTCATTATAATTTCATAAATGTGCTTCTAAGAAAAGTTGGATGCCACTAAGATCTTGTTGAAAATTTTTAGCTGTTGAAGTGTTGCGTATTAAATTGGCATTTAAGCCTTTTGAAATAGGCCTTGAACACAGCATATTAGTCAAATGTATTACAAGAATGTTGAGAAGTGATAAGAAATTTTAACATTGATTATGGATCCCTTGCACAGAAAATCATCATAATAAAGATGTCAAGCTTTGCGAGGCATCATTTGTTCTCTTTAGGCTTAAAAATAGTTTAAATTTGGCCTTGAAATGAAGAAAGAGTTGGGATAATCAACCTTTACATTCTTTCAATAGATTTTTTAATAATGGATTTTAATTTTTGAAGGCACTGTTTAGTCTACTTTTGGAAGTCTAAATAATTTTAATATGTTGGACCAGATCTACAACATCCCTTTTTGTTAAACTGATTCTAAGTGCTAAAGCCTTAATTTTCTTTTGGAATAATAATTTTCTTAATACACTTTACATAGCACAACTCAGCCCTATGTATAGAGGTAGAAAAGCCATTCAACACTTTTTTACAAATTTCTGTAAAAAATAGATTTTGAAGGGTTATATTGCAAACCTCTGTTTTTATTTCTGTTCTTGTAATCTACACTATACAACCCAATTCTTTCTCTTTGTATTTTTCTTGTTACCAT